GCCCCAGGGAAGGTCGCAGACTCAAGTAAAGACCTGTCTGCCCAGCCTCGGGCAGTGAGTGCTTGTAAGGGACAGCTTCTCCTGGGCTGTTTTGCAATGAAGCCACAAATTCTGCTTGGGATCCCCCAGGGGGTAGGTGCTTCCAACTGCAGATCTGAAGGGTAGATACCAAGCACCGGAGGCATAGCCGCATTCCCAGGCAAATACAGAAATGTGTTTCCATAGGACCAAGGAAATGAGCATCGATAAAGGCTGTCAAGGCTTCCGGTTCTTCTCTGGCTGCGAGAACCAAGGGCTAGACTGGGGAGGCAGTGCGGGCAAGAGTAAGGGCCTGGGCTCTGTGGTCATACTACTGGGGTCTGAATCCTGCTCCGCTGTGTGACAGCTGTGTGACCTTGGGATGTATTAGTCTCCTCTCCCTGTACCTCAGTCTCCTCATCTGTAAAATGGGGATGGCAACAATAGTTATCTCATAGAGCCATTGTGAAGGCTACGTAAGATAATGCACGGAAGGCACAGAAAAGGGTCTGGCTCTGCCCCTAGTGCTGGGGTGCTGGGGAAATGGCATGAGGGGTGATCTGTCCTATCAGAGCTGAAAGGAACCTCCCTCAGACATTTTCCAAGTTCCTCCAACCCCAAGGGGAGTTATTCGGAGTCCCTCAGCATGGCGAGGCCAGTGCTTGGGTTCTTAATTGTACCATGTGTCATATTATTTTGTATCCCACACAGGACTCCATATTTTACACACATTACCTTTTTAAATCTTTGTGGCCACTCTACAAGGCATATGTTATGCACTTTCACAGATGGAGAAATTTAAGCTTTAGTGAGGCCAGGTAATCTGCTCAGGGTCAGAGAGTAAGTGTCTGAGACTGGATTCAAACGCAGGTCTTGCTGATTCAAAGCCCACACCTAACACAAATCCCTGGGGCCTGGCCTCACTTCCATCTCAGCTGATGCGGGGCACTGGAGTATGGCCTATGTAGTGGGAAGGAGACCCCTCCAGATGCAGGATGCTGAATGGCAGGAGCTTGTGGGCTGGGCCACAGGCAGGCCCAGGGTCTCCGTGTGAGATCAGGAGGGCTGTAACTGGCCTGGGGGTGGGGGCAGGGAGACAGCACGGTCTACCCCCTGGCTTCCCCCACCCCACCCCCTGAGTCTGAAAGGGGGAGAAGGCAAGGCCATGGGTGTGTCAGGAGGCACCCAACAGAGGCTGCACCGCAAGCTTGAGACAGTGTGTGTCTATGTTCATGCACACGCACACACATACGCACGGGGCCTGCAGCTGTGCACATCCGTGCTGTTCCCAGTGGTAGGGGCATGCGTGCAGGGGTGTCCTCAGGCTCACGTAGGCCAGCATTCTCAGCCTATGTGCAGGTCAGGCAACCCCCCCTCCTGCCCTCTCCTCAAACTGCTGTCCTTCTCTCCTTTGCCTTGGGTTGGTTGCTTGAGCCTGCTCCTTGGGCAGCTTGGCTGTGGCCAGATCTTTGTTCTTTCCCTTAGAAGAGGTGAGAGGAAGTCTCCAGATGCAGTCTATGTGACTAAGTTCAGCAGAACTTGCTGACCTGGTGCCCTGCGCCCCAGTGAGGGGTCTAAAGGACCTCTAGCAGGGGCCATAGGGTGAAGGAGAAAGGGCATAGAGATGGGCTGGAAGCTAGTGGGGGACGTAGGGTCCAGGAGGTCTTTCCGGAAGTGGGAAAGAATTAAGTTTGCTGTGCGGAGGGAAATGGGGCACAGTAGAGGGGTGGAATAGTTAATGGACGGGGCAAGGTCCCAGCCTGGGCTGGACTGGGGTCAAGGGCTGGGGTGGATGGCCCCTCAGGTATACTGGGCTGCAAAGTGGATGTAGATGAAGGTGAAAACGGAAGGCCAGAAGTGAGGGAGCTGTGCCCCTGGCTAAAATGGGCAGCGAATTACCTGGAATGGAAGGGCCAGTATCTGAGCAGCATGGGCGGCCATGGACAGGGTCCTCTGAGGGAGGGGCTGTGAGGCACCTGGAAGGGGCGAATCCGGGAGCAGGAGAGTGGGCATGAGGTTGGGCGGCAGGTTTGGAGAGCTGGAGGTGGCTTCCCTGAGTGCACAATTGCCGAGATGGAGCGGTTCAGTGATGACCAGGCCTGAGTATTTGGTCTTGAGGGTGGGGACTTGAGTGGAGAGGGCTGAGGCCACGGCAGGAGCTGAGTGAGAGGGGCAGGGAGGATACCACGTGACAGAGACGAGGGGGAGCAGAAGGTCTGGCAGGGGGTGAAGGAAGTGTGTGTGGCTAAGGCCAGATCCAGAGCTTTCTTTACTGTGTCTGTGTCCTTCTGTGACAGGGTCACGCTTTTTTCCCCAGCATGCTAGGATGTGTGATCAAGGTCAAATCTCTTTTCTCCATATTAAGGAGCCAAAGCACAGATCATAGTAAATAGAAAAAACAAAACAGTTTTGGGGTCCATTTCACAACAGAGTATTTGCATTTGGAGAATTTTTTTTTTTTTTTTTAAGATTTCTTTGAGAGAGAGAGAGAATGAGCACGGGGTGGGGGGAGAGGGAGAGAGAATCTCAAGCAGACTCCCCACTGAGCATACAGCGCAACGTGGGGCCTGATCTCAGGACCCTGAGATCATGACCTGAGCCGAAATCAAGATCACATGCTTAACCGACTGAGCCAGCCAGGCGCCCCGCATTTGTAGAACTCTGATGTTACCTCATATAACCCTGCAAACCAGAACCACTTGTGATTTCTGACGTCCCAGGGAATCACCCCCTCTGACACTAGGTAATGCCTCTGTTCTGGGGAGACCCCCCTCAGCAGGAGCTGGAGAGCGGCATCCCTGCCCTCTGCAGACCTCCCACTGAGGTCTGTCGTCTCTGCTCCGAACCTCTTGCCATTGGTGGCCAGGGTCACCTCTCAGATGGAGGACAAACAACCTCAAAGAACTCTACTTCCCTTTTTAGCTTTAGTATCTATGGCTCATGCCTTCCTTAGGGCAGTGGGGATGAGAATATAGTTTTATTTTCAAAGACTGTCCCCTCCCATTGACAGCAGGGCACAGCCAGAGGCAGTAGTGAGACCAACAGAGGTGGTGCTGTCAACAAGCCGCTGCAAATAAGGACAACTGTGGAGAACCCCAGAAGCCACTTGATCTGCAGCCTCTTCTACCACCGCCCCCATACACACCCACTTCCAAGGCTCCGGTGACCCAGCGCTTCTTAGCACTCCCGCCAGGCTTGCAGTGTACAGTTATGCGGGCTGCACACTGAACATGAGCCCTTTAAAGGGGCATGCTTCACCCCATGGACACGGGAGATTTGTAGATTTATTGTAACAGTTTTCCAGAAGGTGGCAGTAAAGGGTCTTGAGGAAGGAATAGGGCATGTGAGCTAGCACCGCCCTGGCTTTCAGAATGCGTTGTGCTGGAACCCTCTAGCCTGCCTGGCCGACTTGGCCCCTCACCTTTCAAGGTCCAGTAAAGACACTACCTCCCTGCTGAGGTCTTCTCAACCAGGCAGGGCACATTTCCCTGAGCTCCAGAGCCCCTGGCACACGCTTCTATTTTCCCACCTCACAAACGATGGTGTCTGCCTGTCCTTTTCACCTGTCCGAACCACCGTATTGCCTTTCAACCTGCCCCGTTGCCTAGCACAACGCTTACTATTTGCCCAATAAAAATTTGAACAAAGAATATTGAAGCTGTCCGTTTAACATATCTTATCAAAAGCTTAGGTTTGAGAAATAGTCATTAGCAAAAACCGCCTCTGGCATGCCACGGGCCCATTTAGTCTTTGAGATTTAATCCTCAGAACAGGCCAACCCATTGGAGCCATGTGCCTGGAAAGTGGTGTTCCCCAGGCCCTGAATCCCTTTTTACCAGTGTTTGGCTCATGCCTTGGCTGGTGCTCAAGGCTAGCGTAAGAAACTTCTGTGGAACGTTTCTGCCACGTTTATGGCATGGCTGTCTAAGAGGATGTTGTTTATTACATCTCACAGGCCTGCTTCCTGAGGTCTATGAAAAAAAGTTCCAAGATTTCTAAGCCAGGAACATTTTTGCTTCTTTTGAGTAGGGTGGTGTTTTTTTTATTTCACAAAGTGAGTTATTTGGTTACTTGGTTATTTGGTTACAGAAACAAATCTATGAGCCACTTTCTATGACGTGTCCTAACTTTTCCCCATCTTCTCTGGAATAGGATTTGCCTCTTCTGAATAATGGTTCTGTATCGTGGTGGAAGGCATCTGGGGCACAAGGCAGATGGCGACACCTGCCTGGGCACACAGCCAGCATGTGCAGCGGGGGGGTTCTGGAACGCAGGTGCTCTGACTGCATCAGGCAGAGACTGAAAGAAACTAAGTGGAAAGGAAGTGAATGCTTCTGGGTCAGTCCCTGGGATTTCCCAGGGACCACGAGGAACTGCTTCCACACACTGGAGTCTCTGACTTCAGGCCCAAAGTGGGCCCTGGAATCTCAGGGAGGGCAGAGGTGAACAGCACAGGTAGGACTATCAAACTGCGGGGCCATCCATCTTCATACAAACCTAGTGTTTCTGGAACGCCTAGCACATGGTGGGTGTGCGGCAAACACGCCTTACTGAAGGAGCCCCACCTGGGTTTGACTATTTCCAGGGGCTGGGAGTCTCACTCATTGCCTGACCCTTAACTACATTAGGTTTGAAAGTAAGGACCAGGTGTTGTAGAGGGCAGGGCTTGTGTGGCTGGGACAAAATCATCATCCTATTGCCTCTAAGGTGAAGTTAGGGTCAAACATATCGTTTCCAGACCTCTCTGAGGAAAGTGTTTTCAGAGAGCTTTGATCCTGGGACGTGCCCGCCAAGGCAAGTACTGTGGATGTGGTGCCTGCAGAAGGGAGGCCCCGGAGGGTGGCATGGGGGTGGTGGGTGGTGGAAAGCGGCCTGTGCCAAGCTGCCATCTAAGCGGGTTCGCCTGTGGCTGGCGGCCCCTCAGAGGCCCTGCAGGACCTCTCTAGCCGCTTCTCTCCCTCTCGCCTGCAGTTCTGTCGAAGATGCACTGGACACCGGAACACGCCCAGCCCCTCAACCAGTGGCCAGAACAGCACCTGGACGTCTCCTCCACTACCCCGTCGCCGGCCCACAAGTTGGAGCTGCCCCCTGGGGGTCGCCAGCGCTGCCACTATGCTTGGGCACACGACGACATCTCTGCCCTCACAGCCTCCAACCTCCTCAAGCGCTACGCAGAGAAGTACTCAGGGGTCCTGGACTCTCCCTACGAGCGCCCCGCGCTGGGCGGCTATGGCGACGCCGCCTTCCTCAACGGCGCCAAGGGAGACCCCGAGCCCTGGCCAGGGCCGGAGCCACCCTACCCCTTGGCCTCACTCCACGAGGGCCTCCCGGGAACCAAGTCGGGCAGTGGGGGCGGCTCCGGGGGCCTCGGGGGCTCCCCGGTTTTAGCCGGGAACCTGCCTGAACCCCTCTACGCCGGCAATGCTTGCGGAGGCCCGTCGGCGGCGCCCGAGTACGGGGCGGGCTACGGCGGGGGGTACCTGGCCCCCGGCTACTGCGCGCAGACAGGCACCGCGCTGCCCCCGCCGCCCCCCGCCGCGCTCCTGCAGCCCCCGCCTCCGCCGGGCTACGGCCCCTCCGGGCCGCTGTACAACTACCCCGCGGGAGGCTACCCGGCGCAGCCCGGCTACGGGGCTCTCCCGCCGCCCCCGGCCCCGCCCCCGGCCCCCTACCTGACCTCGGGCCTGGCGGCGCCCACGCCCCTGCCGGCGCCCGCTCCGCCCCGGCCGGCGCCCACCTCCTACAGCTTCCAGGCGGCCGAGGCCGGGGTGTCGCTGAAGCGCAAGGCCGCCGATGAAGGCGCGGAGGGCCGCTACCGCAAGTACGTCTACGAGCCCGCCAAGGCCCCGGCGGCCGACGGCGCCTCCTACCCCGCAACGGACAACGGCGAGTGTCGGGGCAACGGGTTCCGGCCGAAGCCGCCGGGAGCCGCGGAGGAGGCGTCGGGCAAGTACGGTGGCGGCGTGCCCCTCAAGGTCTTGGGCTCCCCCGTCTACGGCCCGCAACTCGAGCCCTTTGAAAAGTTCCCGGAGCGCGCCCCGGCGCCGGCTCCCCGCGGGGGCTTCGCGGTGCCGTCGGCAGAGCCCCCCAAAGGCGTGGACCCGGGGGCCCTGGAGCTGGTGACGAGCAAGATGCTAGACTGCGGGCCCCCGGTGCAGTGGGCAGACGTGGCAGGTCAGGGCGCGCTCAAGGCCGCGCTGGAGGAGGAGCTGGTGTGGCCCCTGCTCAGGCCGCCCGCCTACCCCGGCAGCCCGCGCCCGCCGCGGACCGTGCTGCTCTTCGGACCGCGGGGCGCCGGCAAAGCGCTGCTGGGCCGCTGCCTGGCCACGCAGCTGGGCGCCACGCTGCTGCGCCTGCGCGGAGCGACGCTGGCCGCGCCGGGCGCCGCCGAGGGCGCGCACCTCCTCCAGGCCGCCTTCGCGGCTGCGCGCTGCCGCCCGCCCTCCGTGCTCCTCATCAGCGAGCTGGACGCGCTGCTCCCGGCTCGGGACGACGGCGTCGCTGCGGCGGGCGCGCTGCAGGCGCCGCTCCTGGCTTGCCTGGATGGCGGCTGCGGTGCGGGGGCCGACGGCGTACTGGTCGTGGGCACCACCTCGCGGCCCGCGGCTCTGGACGAGGCTACCCGCCGGCGCTTCGCTCTCCGCTTCTACGTGGCGCTGCCCGATGGCCCTGCCCGCGGGCAGATCCTGCAGCGGGCGCTGGCCCAGCAGGGCTGCGCGCTGAACGAGCGGGAGCTCGCGGCCCTGGTGCAGGGCACCCAGGGCTTCTCCGGGGGCGAGCTGGGGCAGCTGTGCCAGCAGGCAGCGGCCGGGGCGGGCCTCCCGGGGCTGCAGCGGCCCCTTTCCTACAAGGACTTGGAGGCAGCGCTCGCCAAGGTGGGCCCTAGGGCCTCCCCCAAGGACCTGGACTCGTACGTGGAATGGGACAAAATGTACGGCTCCGGACACTGACGGCGCGCCGGGAGGCCGCGGGAGCAAGCCGCCCCGCTCCCCCCCCCCCCCCGCCCCGTCCCTCCGGTCGGGAGGGTTGTCTTTAACCAAACCGGGCTGGGAGGGGGCCGGAGTAATGAATGTGGGCTGGGGGAGGGGAGGGGCTGCCGGTGGATTTTTTTTTTTTTTTTTTTTTCCGTGGGAAGGAAAATGCTTCTGCTAGGCAGATAGATGCCATATGCGCTGTGTACTCAGGTTTTTCCTATTTATTGTGGACGGGAAGCTCGCCATCTCCGCCCGGCCGACGGGCAGACCCGGGATGGGCTGGCACCCGGGGCCTAAGGAACTCCTGCGCCCTCGCCACAATCCTTTTGTCTCCTCGCTCCCTGAATGGCTCTCTCCTCCCCCCTCTTTCTCTACATTCGCGTAGTTTTCTTTCTCCGTGGTTTTGTCACTGACTTTCTCATATGTTGGCCCTGTTTCTCTTTTGCCCCTCCCTCCCCTCTCCATCTATCACCTCTGTGCTTCTGTCTCGTCCCTCGCTTTTCAGCCTGTTTCTCTTGGTCCCTCTCATTCAAAAGAATGCAGTGTCCCTTTGCAGGAGATCTGGAAGTCCAGGGGCTGAGGAGGAGGGGGTAGGGAGTTCCCTCCCACCCCATTATCCCTCACCCAGCTGTATCCTTGGGTCTTGGGTGGGGGAAGAGGGCAAGCAAAAAAAAAAAAAAAAAAAAAAAAAAAAAAAAAAAAAAAACACCCAAAGAAGGGTTTTTGTTTGTTTGTTTGTTTTTGAAGGGGAAATCCCAGAAATGTAGCTTGTTTAATATTTTAGGCCTCTTATTTTTGTAAGATGTGTAGAATTTGCTGGTTTTTGTTTTATTTTGACAACTCAGGAAGAAACTGACCTCAGAAAGAATGTTAGACTTTGGCTGCTCTCCTGTGTGTTCCCTGCCCCGCCCCCCAACAAATTCTCCCAGGAGACTCAGAAAGTGAAACTTGTGGGGAAGGGGAGAGGAAGACCCAGAGCCACACTGAAACCCCTGCTCTTCCTGGGACAGAAGCAGAATGTATTTCTAGGGCTTCCTCCCCAGGTCCAAGGTTGTAGGCAGGGGTGTGGGGGAGTGGGTTGTGGGATTTGAGAAGAGGTAGGTCCTGCTGCTCTCCCCCTGAGCCCCACCCCCCAGCTTAGTGTTGTCTGTTATCCAGAGAGATGCCCTCTGCCCCCTTTCTTGCCCCAGACCCAGAGAGAGGGGGCCCGGATGGGAAGGTGACCTGGGCAGAAAGTCCCCAGAGAGGTCATCTCACCCTGGCCCTTCATAGGCGGAGGTCTTCTATAACTTCTGTTAGGAGGATTCCCTCAGGAGAGAAGACAGTGTGGCCACAAGTCTGGTTGGGCACAAAATTGACTACAGACTCAGCTTCCCTGGGTGTTGGGAGGCTCCAAGGAGGAGTGAGCATCTGTTACAGAAGAACGTTCTGGGGGCAAGTGTGCCTCCCATCATCCTAGGGTCCTAGGTTGGGAGATCCAGGGGCTGCGAGAGGGTGAAGGAGATGGGCAGACTGTTTTTCCCAGACGTGGGGGTTATTTTCAGTCCCACCCAAACTTTCCACCAGAAGCCAGGCTTGGGGGCCCTTCCTTGTGAGAACAATATTCCTCTCCTTCCCTGCAGCTTTCCCTTGATGGGGCTTCAGTTTGTCTCCCTCCCCCTCAGGGAGCCCATTTCACAACTCTGACCTTTGCTCCAAAGTAGGGTGCAAACCCTCACCGTACCTCTTCTCTCTCCCCCCCACCCCAGCGGCCCCCCCCCCCCCCCCGTTCCCTGTTCACCCTTATAGCTCCTACAGTCTCTACCATCTCCCACTCCCAGCTGGAGGGATGTCCATGGGGGACATTTCAGGTGCCAAGGTGCTGAGGGCCTGTGCTGGCCTAGGTAGGAGTGCTAACAGGAAAGCTGCTCTGTTTTCCCCTCCTTTTCATCCTTGGTCTTTTTGGGCCTCCTCTCCTTGGAGCTGGCAGACTGCAGGGCTTTGGTGCCCAGAAGCCGTGGGCTGCACGGCTGGGAAGCACCCTTTGGAGGGAGCAGGGCAGGAGGGGGTTCTCTCAGGTGTGCGGATGTATATGGGGGGGTGGAGGGCATGGGGAAGTGGGGTTGGGATGCCAGCCTTCCCTTCAAGAGGCAGGCAGCTGAGGGGAGGAGGAGCTCACTGAGACCCAGGGCCCCCACTGCCTCCTCTGCTGGCCTCGGGGAACTTTGCACAAGGACACAGCTCCCAGTCTACTAGCACCTACCTCATGGGCGCTGGGGAGGGTGTGTGTGTGGGGGGAGGGCAGGTCCAGCTCTGGCAATGTTGGGGGGGGCATACCAAAGAATCCAGGGGCAGGGATTGGGGGGAGGGCAGACTTGGCAAGCTGGCCTTCCTCTTCCTCTACCCAGACTGGGGTTGGGGTCCTCTCCTCCAGCTGTAACCATTTCTACCTCATTTTGCTGCGTGTTGTACATGGACGTATTTATCTCCTGTCTGACGATGCTCTGCAGTTGTGGTCTGTCTACCTCAGAAGAGACTGTATTTTAAAAGAAAGTATTACACAGTATTAAAGCAATGACATGTGGTTTCCAGAGGATTTCTTGGGGGCAGCAGGATGTGGGGAGCCCTCTGGGGAATGCTTGGGCATCCAGGTGTGCCACGGGTGGTGCGACCCTGTGGGTGTTTCTAGTCCTGCAGCAGAACATGCCTGTGGGACTCCTCGTACTCATTCTCGCGCAGCAAGTTCCTACCCAGTGTTGGACACTAAGGCCTACAAAGTGAGAAGCCCCTGGATAGGGAAGGCCCTCCTGCAGCTTCGAGCTCCCAGAGGCTCAGAATTCGGGCTGACTCCTATCTCCAGAGTCCCAAAGTATGAGGGGAAAGAAGGGCTCACATGTTTGTTGAATGAGTGAATGGATGAGGAAATGAATGCTTGGAGAAAATGGGGGCTGAAGAGGCCGGTGCACTCAGAATGCGGACAGCCGCCCTTGCTGGCTAGAGCTAAGATTAGACTTGATTCTTGGAGGGAGGGAAGGGGGCAGAGGGCAGGGTATGGAGACAGCCAAGTTCCAGTCTTCAGGGGCACGTGGGATCCTTTGTCCGCCACCATCTGTCCATTCCCAAACTCTGCCTTTGCCAGCTCATCATAAACTGAGAGCCTGAGAACTAGGAGGGAAGATCTTGTTGAAAAAGCTATATGGAGATACCTGTCGGAGGCTGGACCCACAACCTCGAGGTCCTTGCATGCTCTAAGCAAAATTACTGAAGATGCACCAGCACGCACGGGCTCAGGGCTGACACATGCCCTGGGCTTTCAGGGGGCAAAGCAAGCCCAAGGGGAGAGCCCGCAAAGCAGCCGGCTCCCCTGTGAGAGAAACAATTGTGTGCCTGCACATGGGGGCTCCAGGCATTGCCCCAGGACTCAGCGATGCCAACCCTCTTGGCCTTTGGAGGTCTAGACCTCCCTCACACTCCAGTTGACTTATTACACTCCTACTCTGTACAGACACTGTAGCACTGAGGACACAGAAATGGTTAAGCACAGCCACTGTTCAAGGTGAGAACTAAAAAATGGGTCATTTGAAAATAAGTGGATAAAGCTGCTTGGGGAAGGACCATATAAAAATTTTATATTCTCACGTCTGGTATCGGATTTGGTACTTGGAAGACACTAATACTAGGTAAGTCCTTCAATTAACCAATTTCCAGAGAAATGTCCTAATGGAGGATGCACCGGCTATCTTGGAACAGAAAACCAACACAAAACCAAAACAAGCTATCTCAAGAATGCCCAGAAAAGTTCCTGACTCCTGGTGGTGGTGGCGTGTTAGAAAAACTTCCTGGACAGGCCGGGTGGGGGGGGGGGGGGGCAGCCAAACAAAGTGAGGGAGGCTGGAAAGCACCATAGGTGTGATTTGTTACAGGAGCATAGAGTGAGGGCAGGGGTGGGAGGGCCGGAGGAAGTGAGGCTGGACCACTTGCACCCTGAGGAGCTTTCGTGCCCTGGGGAACAGCTGAGGCTTGGAAATGAAAGTCACGTGTGTGCTTGGAGGAACGTGGGTTGATGGCCTGTGGACAGGGCCTGATTTGCAAGTTAAGAATTCACACAAGGATCCAACAAATCTTTACTGAAACCTACTTTGTGGTAGTTGCTGCAGGGACAGCAGATGGACCTTACAGTGGAATGGAGGAGACAGAAAAAGGCAGAGGGGCAACGAAGCCTAGGAGTAGATAAGAGGGATACCTAATGGAGAGGGGCGAAGGGTTTGTACTGGAGTCCGGGAGGGCTTCCCAAAAGGTACCTGTCAGCTGAGGAGTTTGGCCAAGGCAGAAGGGAGTGCAGGCCAAGATCCAAAGGAGAGCCCAAGCCAAGCTTGCTCAGGAAAGGAAACAAGGTTAGGGAGTGGGGCCCTGGCGTGTGTGGAGTAGAGGTGGGGACTTGAGGAGTTTACCAGACAAGTAATCCAGACAAGAGGAGGTGAGGGTTTGGAGGCACCTGTGGGAGGATGGGAATTGGTGAGTCTATAAATATTTGGTATTTAGTAGGTAGCCCGAGAATTTGGGATTGGGTATTGGATCATGGAGAGCAAGGGGTCTAGGGCTTGTGCTGGAGGTTGAGGGGCGGTGAATGGATTATGAGAGATGTGGGACACTTGGCAATTTGAGGCATTAGTGGGATGGCCAGGCGGCAGGCCTAGGGCAGGAGTTTTAATATAAGGGCCCAGGATCTTCGCCTCCTGGGGGACTGGGTGTCCCCCACCCCTGGGTCTTGGAAAACTCTCACTCCTAATTCCTTCCGGTTCCTAGTTTCTGGGTGCTGGGAGATCCCACGCGTGAGCTGCCCCCTCGCCCCGGTCCCGGCCTGCGGAAACCCCCCTCCCCCGCCCGCAACCGGTACCAGGCACCCCTCCCCCACCTGTGGGCGTTCGGAGCTCCTCCCACCACAGTAGGTACGGCGCGGTCACAGCCGGCGGTGGCCATGGCGGCTCGGGCTCAGG